GTTTTTAAGCTCATAGATAAAAACATACAGTGCTGTGCATGTGGCGCCACCTTGCTTGATACTGAATAGGTCGAGTGGCAACAGACAGTGAGCACTTTATATATATATATATATATATATATATGATTTCACTTCAGTCGAGATAACGGCCTGTACCGTGCAATGATAGCTAATGTTATTAAAAGATAGTTTAGGCTTGAAACGGTCTACTTGATTAGCAATAAGAGGCGAAAGATGATAAAAGGAATGCCTTAAGATATGTTCTAAATTTATTGCGATACTGCTGATATTCCCAATTAGGTGGGAGGAGGAATACCATCTAGGGAAAGCTAGATAATATAAGGTCTGAATATTTCTGAAAGAAATAAAAAGAGCAAGAAACTCTGATTGTGCTCATGGTAGAACTTCGGGCGGGCTTGATTTCTAAAATAAATAAAGACAAAGTGGGACTTAATGCTACGTGATTTTAATTGTGGCACGAGGCGAGCACGAAAAAACATGTGTTTGTACAACACCGATTATTGACAGACATTGTGTATTTTCTTACACAAGAGGCATTTGCCTGACTTATTTTAATGAAAAGATAACCTGGATATGAAAGACCTATTCCTTCAAAAATCTTGAATGGTTGACATTACATTGTATGAAACGCATTTTGTCAAAATAGCAAAAGCCCGCTCTGCTCCCCTTTGCTCCATATAATATGTACAACGTAACAAGAGATTATAATGATATGGTGACTGTGCAGATTTAGGCGCCCTATCGTGCTCGTTCGACAATGCTATATTTCTAGTTATCAGCAAAAGTCCACACATACCCTATCCCGAAATGATCTTAGGAATTTTCTGAAAATATTCTATGATGTTTCCCATAGCGAAAATTCTATTTACTGTCTTGTAAAGTTAATGGTAAATATTTTAAGAGATTCAGTAAGAAGTTCCGTGATTTCATCGTACGATAATTTACTATTGCTAATTATACTGTAGAATAACATTACATGCCCTCAAATCGATTACGCTTAGGGGCGTAATCTATCTACCTGCACTTTTTTGCTCCTTGAAGAAAGTTACCGTATAGTGTTTAAGCCGTGTGAGGGCCCTTACCTAATTTATGTCACTAATTGACGAAACGGCGCGTGGAAATAACGGCAATGTAATTTATGGGGTGATTTGAAACACACAGATCGAATGGCTAAAAATTTATTTCAAGACGATCAATTGCTGTTTTATAAGTTTCCTTTTCTAACTCCAGCGACTAACAACAAAAATAAAAGTTATATCTTGTGACTGATTGCGGAACATTTCTGTTTTTTACAGTAATATTACTTGAACTGTTCTTAACATTTTTTGCCACACGACGCCTGCGTTAACCGAACAAATACATGTTTTAATTCTTTATCTCGAGGTTTGAACAGTCAATTTCTCGGTACGCGATGCATAATATACAGTACAATACCGTAAAAGTGACGATGACATGATATTTCTTCGTTTGCGATCGTACTTCTACCGATAACTACATTTTTCTTCCTTTCACTTTAAGCAGTCCTCGACCATTTCATAGATCGCTGAGCGGGAACTCCATTTAGTGGAGCCGGCGAACGTGGCAAGAGCCATAACCTCATGGGATGGGCCGATAATTTAACACAGATCATCACCATCACACCATCGCTGCAGCTTTTTTGTAGGGCAGGCAGCTACTGCTAGACCGGTATTTCGCCTTGTGAAACCGAACAGTAGTTGTGGGACCCGTTTATTCCTTAACACATTGGCCTTGTTGGCACATGTCCAGGATTTCCTAGACATTCGATACATTTTTGGGTTACATGACATGCTAAAGGCCGCAAAAAACGGGGCAAAAAGAAACTTATTAAATCTACTACAGCAAGTTAATCACTGATTATTTTCAGTACTAACAATATATGCAAAAAGCGTCCCAAATCACTGGCTCATCGGAAAGTGTAAAACAGCAATTAATTATAAAAATAACAATAATGAAACGTGGGAGTGATGGTGCTAGGGGAATTTCCTATTTGTTAAGTAACAAGCGCGATAAATTCAAGCGTCGCACAGTTAATGAAATAGTCAGAGCAGTATGTGTGATAGTTTAGTATTTTAATTGCAATAAAACAATAAGTTTGATGATACTCAAAAGAAAAAGGAAGCATTTTACCCTAGGTTGCTTCAAATTTGTCATAGCTGCAGGCCATAACAACTTTTCCAACCAGATTTTAGGCTACACATTTAATAGGCATTTCTAAAATCGTCTCAAGACCTATATCTTGAATTGTACGTTCTGCACCGCCGTCATCATTTCATCATGAGCCTCACTCTCAGGATGAAACGAAATATGTCTGTGTTGAAATTTAAAGCTGGACCACCACATGTACCTTAGATTAATAGGCAAGCAAGTTATCCATTAAGCTACAACGGCAAGTACCTGTTTGAACTTAACGTGTGAGTTAGTTATCGTCTACACACTTTTGCTTCAATTTATTATATGGGTTCATTATGACAAAATCAAGAAATATTAAGAGAGAAAGACCAGTTGTACATTATCTTTAAGCTCTTGGATGCGTTTAGAGTGCGGAACGTATAAAAATGACAAACTCTACAGTTAAAGCGTCGTTATATTGTATTAAATATATATTTGTCTTTTTCAGATAACGTCTTATAATAAGAATCCACAACAAACCCTTTTGATTTTTATGTATTCCTTTATTCATGTCAGCTTTCCACACACCACTGCGCTCCCAGGGGCTTGTAACAGAATTTCTATTGAGCGTTACTGACAATCCTAAATATACGTTGTTGGCAGTATAACAGTAAGCCAGGTTTTTGCTGTTTTGCGGAGAATCATTAAAAACTATATTGCCATCTACTCAAAACCGAATGTTCACGTTAGATTCTGCTGCTGAGGCTTGGCGTAGATCCTGGAAGTATCCATGTACTTTAAATGTCATGAATATTGGACGCTAACGATGATGACTCTGGTCATAGGAGAGAAGTTGTAGACCTCAAAATGCAGCAGATCTGACTTATCAAACTAGAAAATGTTTTTTCCATATCAAAGTTAGATGGCCTGAAGGCAAGGCCCGCTGATTTTCTAGCATTGCGTATATCTAACATCAGACACTTTCGACTAGGGATTCGTTAGAATAAAAATACATTTACGAGTACATGCTGTTGACCGAGAATGAAAGCGACCAAGTATACATCATTCTCACAATCTGAATATAAAGGGACACAGCAGTTGAACAAGAATAGAAGAAACGACCCTCTTCTGGTGCCCCTTTTCCCAGTGGCTTAGGCACTGCACGAGCACGATTCAGCGTGACGGCAAATGACTTCTGCTAGGCTAATCGGCACTGAAAGACAGGGAGGAACAGAGACAACGAGTCCGTACACTTGTACGGCTGTAGCTTTAGGGTGCCTTGTCACTAAATGTACTGCCTCCACTGCCCTTTTTCACCATGTAGCGTCCTTGTCTGCCTCACAAATCTAACTGAATAAAGCATGAAATGCATGCTTATTCTGCAGCAAAAAAGAAAAAGAAGAGGGCAAACCAGCATCGAGGCAAGTCGGTCCCAGTCGCCCACCTGCGCATTTAACGAAGGTAAAGTAGTCCGATGGAGATTCAGAGTTCACGGAAGTGAAATATACAACTGGATAGAATATGATAGGAACGATGTGATGGTGCCTAAACAAGCCACTATCGCTACGGCGACTACGGCTACGACTGCCATTATTGTAGTGACATGGGTTAGACCTTGTAGGTGGAAAGCGTAAGAGAAGTGAGCAAAACCAGTGTAGGCTGATAGAGGAAGAGAACGTGAAAAGAGCGAGAGGAGAACGAAAATAGTGGGAGATGCGTCGGAAATAACTGGGTGACGAAAGTTGCTTTACATCGCCTGTAGCAAAGTGCAAGTAACTATCAAAGTGCCACGCTGAATTATCAGAAGCCTATATTTTGCAACAGTACGTATCGTGTCACAGAAGACCTGACTTATGTAATTCCCGACAGATCACATAACATTTCACATAAATAAAATAATAGTTCTGGTAGGCGAATCTGTGGGCTCCCCACGCATTTGCCTTGTATGGACCGATTTCATCAATCTGATTCGTTCATCTTTGCTAAACAATAAGTTGAGCATACATTGACAATTATCCCATTGCAGTAGTCCTGCTCTACCTGATCCATTCCTGTTCCTTAGTTATTTGTGTAGCCTCTTCTATTATCCTCGCCAGAGAGTTCAGCCAATCCTAAATCGTCTCGCGTCCGTAATATGTTGGCTTTTAATACAGTTCTACAACGTAATTACAACTTTTTTTTAGTGTGGTCTGAATGAGTCTGTTTCCAGAATGCACGTAAATAATGTTAACAACGGCCACCACTCTGAGCGCCGGACGTGGATCAAATCAGCCTTTGTTAGCCTTTTAATTCATCATTTTTGTTCATTCTGTTTCTGAGATTTACGATTTACACGAAACGTTTTTGTCTCTTTTTTTTTTTTAAATAATTACACAGACTATATAATATTAAGGTTGTCTCTATCTTCGGGACGTCACGAAGGCTTAGAGGTTATTTTTATCTTTCCTTCTCCCATAATGAACAGTTGCGCGTCTTACAAAGTATAGTAAACATTTAATGATGATATGTCTGGGTTAATGTATTAGCTCTGTCTCTAGGACGTTACCACCGCTTACAAATGCTTAGTTTTGTTTTATTTTTTTACGTACATTTATTTGACATTTGGCATATTTCCCTAGAAATCAATTTAGAAAAGCTAAGAATTGCTGAAAACTTTTTACGAAAACCCATTTTACATTTGCCTCTTCAAGTCTTCAATAGATATTTATTAGACACTTGTTAAAAAAAAACTCTAAATACATTTCGCCTCGTGGTTACATAACAAAACTATTAAGAACAATGGAGTTTTCACAATTTTCACTAAAAATATCCATTTTAGGTACCGGATTTTTATTGAGTTCGTCGAGATCCGTCGACTAGCATGACAGACAATGCCACTGGCATAGGTTCCACCTTTTAAACGACATCTTCTAACTGAGAACTGAAATTAAGGTATATGAATATGTATTGCATTCCGATTCAGCTTATCGAGAGCTTCCGCTTTATATCAAGATTAGATTTCCACGTAAATCGGTCTTATCCCGGTGTCACCTTAGTGAACAAGTTAAGATAATCAATTTTAGCTATAGGAAGACATGTTTTGACCTACCGACTAGTGTAAGGTATTGGCGTAGGAACAGACATCGGAACAGAATAGTACTTTGCGTAGAAAAATGTTTCAAATATTTTAGCGTTCTTCTTAAAAAATCTGTTACAAGGTATTTACAAAAAAATTTGTTCAGCAAAACATTTCTTACATTAGACGCTACAACCTTCTCATTGACAATTATCAGAAATTCGGTGACAAAAGTACTCAAAAGTGTCTTGAAACACTTTTATTTCATTGCCACCTGGGCGAAACAAACTCGGGTTTTTCACCATTTTCGCGCCGAACCACTACCCATTTCGAATAGAGAGACCTGTATTGCATTTCTACTTAGCATGTTGAGATGTATCGATTGGCGTCAAGAAAAGGTCGCGTCACATAGAATGTTATGTTGTTTTCGCCTCCTGGGAGCATTTTCAATCTGAAAAGTGAGCTTCAAAAACAAGGACATGCATCACATTTTGATTAGCTCAGTACCACCAGTTTTCGACTGGTTTCAAGAGCAATCCCCCCTCCCTTACCGACTCAATGTAAATCTTCGACTGCCGTTTTTTCTAAAAAAACTATCGAAAGGCAATCGATTTTAACCCCCACAACTTTCTCATAGACATCTATGAAATAATCCAGCAAAAAAAAAGGGCAACTGTTACAAAATTAACGTTACGCTTTAAGGCATGAAAAATTAAACTGCCCCCATCGTAAAAAATATTCATCCAACCGGTTTCATGTTATGCGCAGCTTTACTTTGGATAATCCTCGTAATAATAAGTGACCCGCTAGTAATCCGAAAAAATAATTAAGTAAATAAAAGAATTTCATTCACTAGTAGACCATAGTGCATTGATTCAGTTTAGACAATAATCTGTGATTTACTTCTCCGTAGTCATAGATTATTAACTAATAATCTGATTGAAGAGTAGTAGGTTGTGAAGTTATGAAAACTGTGATCAACATATGTACCTGCAAGAGTCAATGCTCTTTTAGTAGCAGTTCATTTATCTTAAGCGACTAAGGTTCAGACGTACAGGAGGATTGCTTCCATGGTAGCCTAGTGGGTAAAGAAAGTATTTGCTTGCGAATATCTGATATACGTAGTGGTCTAGTTTCGAACCCGTACATAGATTAACTTGATCCCGTGCTGGGAGCCATCCGTTGATACCAGACATTGACAGGAATCCACAATGCAGGAAGATGACATATCTAGCAAAAGCGTGCTTCATTCTCAAAATGACGAGGAAGCTTCATGTTGACCTTAACATTACTGCATGCAGATGGTCGAGTGGCGACCACCAAATCAATCTCTACCTATAATAATCTACTAATTGACTCAAAAACATAAAGAATGTGATAAACAACTATGGTAATAGATTTTTTTTTCGACTAGTAGCTCATCGATCATTATGACGAAAACTGAAATCGATTTGGGACTGATGTTTACCATCTGTTCTATTCACTCCTGTTATATTGTACGTAAAGTAAAATACGCAAACGGAAGCCTAAAAATGCACGACAGTGATCGCTGTTAATTCAGACTGCTAATAATATTAATACTAAATCTATAACTGATACAAAAAGTGCACGATCGAATCTATTCGTACCTGTTCTATCTGTTTAAGTATTAATTTCAAATTTAGGCGCCCATCACTGATGGTTTCCAACCCTTGGCTGCAATGCAATAGAAGTAGAAGCGACCTCTTCAAGAAAACTGAGTGAACTCTAGATTCTATTCGTTAGAATTAAAACATTACTCTTCACCCGGCATAGAAACAAGTTCACGTTTTTCCATCAGAAATATCCGTGTTTTTTCGAAGTATCGAAACAACATAGCTGGGCACGATAAAAAACAAAAACTTTGGTGGCTTCAGTCCTACTTGCTGTTAAACTGCTGCTTGTGATTTCCGGACTTAATAGTTTTAAAAACTCTGACTATTGGTCTACACTGCAATAGGCTCGTATAGATAACTTGGAGAGAGCTTCCCTGATCATAACGGGCCAAATTTATTATTGCAATGCTCCCTAGCTCCAGATTCCATAATTGATTCTGCTTGGAATTTTATTTGTCTCAGCGAACGAATACGTGAGTGGTTTTACGTAAAGCTCTTACGTGGAGTTTGAAACATTCGGAACGAGGGACAGTGTTGTCGGCTGCCACTATAATCTGAAAACCGGCGCCAGGCCTCCACCGGGCTAAATCGTCGGATATGTTAATCGCCACCGCGATCGAATGGCCAATACTTAACATATTACAGACCTATGAATATATATCATTTGGCGGTCCATACAATTTGATTTCTTGAAGAAATTGATGATGGCACATCGAAAAGCAGAAGCTAGTCGTAGAAAAAACGTAAGGCTGTATTTGTGAAAAACGTTCTTCAATACCAATAGGCCGACAAATAGAAATCACGCATTTTTTCAAACGCGGGAAGAGAAGGCGAACTAAGGTCCCGGCCCAAGTAGCCCGTCCCGCAAAAGTTCCCACAGCAAACACCATTCATGATGACGACCATTATCTCGGCAACCCGTCCTGAGCTTTGGCCCAGTTAACACGCACAGTCAAGCAAGGCACGGAAAATTTCGACATATTGAGTAAGCTTGATTCAGCTTTGGTTTCGAACAAGAGCGCTGCTAAAATGGGGAAGGGTGAAACAAAAATATAGCCATAAGGGCGTCTGCAACGAAGGAAGTACAAATTAATAGATACACTAATGAAACATTGAAGCATGATGCTTGGGTGTATGGATGACTGCTTCAATCAGAGCTCAGAAAGGTAAAGATGGACGCACGTGTGAAGAGGACTGAAATCAGAGGTTTTTTGGAGAAAAGTTTTCCAATATATAGCAACACTATTACAATTCTTCGGAATTTTTTTTATCTAATTACAAATAGACTCACTTATCAAGCATATTTGATTTCATGAATAATTTTGTAACTTTTGCTTTGCCTCATTGTAATAAGTATTAGGCTAACTCCTATCTTTATATAGAAATGTTTTTTTGAAAAAATAATCCAATTATGTATCAACAAAAGCGTTCTGTTTGCGCGTGAATTGCATATTGATATGTGCTGTCCCATCGGTTATTGCAAATAGGCATAGTACTTCTATTATACTAAACCCTATTCTGTGCACGTACCCTTTTCTATTTTTTAGAGATGGCACGTTCGTTATTTTCTGAATTGGTTGTTTGTGACTTACGTTTACGGATCAAATCATTTATTAACACTTCTTAGTTTACTATTGGACATTTCTCATCAGCACCAACACCATCCCAATTCCTACCGCATGTGATTTTTCGGACACTGCCAAAACAACACGTAACTGTGTTATGTGTAGAAAGTGGCTTTTAGTGTTTGACAGCCTTGCGTTCATAAAGCACGATGGTCGTATAGTACAGAATGATGCAAAACAGTGGTTTCGTCAGCATTGCCGTCAGTGACGCGAAAATAGCTGATTTGTATTAGTTAATCTGTTAAGGATTCTTATTACGTTCTTCTTCTTAATAATGATAAGGATGCTTTTTTTTCCCAACCAAATCTGTATTATTCTCGGTGTTTGCTAATAACATTAGTAACAAGGTGACAATTTTATAGGTGATAGAGTATTCCCCTTCATTTATTCACGTCAAAACATCGTTCCTCGTGTGCATACTATATTAAAACGTTTGCAGTAGATCAAAAGGCGCGAATAGTTATACTGTCGCTGAACTCAGCTTGTGCCTAGTATCGCCTTTTTTCATAAAAAAAAAAGTGTAAGGAGAAAATACCGCGAATTCATTTACAGTTTGAGCTTGAGTAAGGGAACTTAAAAGTAGATGGCCCTATATTAAAGCGTTTCGCATAGACGATCATCAACAAAGGCTGGCAGCTTGTGTTGATGGTCGCGTGAAGTGCTTTCGCGGACCTAGATTTGATTAAACCCCCTTTTTTTTTGTTGGTAGATGATCTGTTTTGCTACGGGTGATTTGGTACTTTGACAAATTTGACTAGTGATTAGCTAAAAGATACACATGGACACTTTTTCTATTTAAATACATTCACATAAGCCAGCAATAGGATTTACACTTAAAATGCAAGCAACGGAATACTTTTACGATTAACCTAATAAATCGTGCGTGAGAATTTTGCACGAATTCAGCTATTTAAACTAAAGGTGATAGATTGACGCAAAAATATTAGGGTTATAGATGAATGTCACTGTTTAGTATAAGGTTGGCGTACCTATCCATGTAAAAACAATTCAACAGCTGCTTGTCCTATAGATCAGATAGGGAACGCCTTCGCAGACGTGTAGCACGCCTGTGACAATGACGCCAACAAACAGGCCAGCAGTCGAGACGCTGAAGTTATGCTTGTGGCTTTCTGTTGTGTTCTATTTAACGACTTGCATAGCTCTTGTGTGTTCTTCTAACATTGAAAAGCGTTTTATTAGTACACCTTGAATGTTGCTAGCACTAGGACTACACCATGCTGCGTATGGCCACGCAATAAGACTAGAGGGGTACTAAACTTACATAGGCCGTTTGCGTTAAAGAGATTCTATCGCAAATTCGTTTGACTTTTTTTTTTTACGTTGAACACTCTTCGACTGTTATAGAAAATCGTTGTTGTCAATTAGGTTTATTTACATAATTATGCAATAATATTACACACGCGTTAAAAGACATGGGTCACAAGTAATGGATGACGCCAATTATATCGTTATTACTACGCGTTTTTGAGTGCTCGCCGTCTAAGCCCTGCTTCACTGTACGGAAACTATAAGGAAAGCAATTTTATATATAAATGCTGCTTAGATATACGAACGTGTAATACATACCAAGCATGAGCGAGCGAGCCAGCTTAAGCTGGAGCTGCGGGTTCGCTAGGGACTGAGTAAAGAAAATGAATCAGGTGACCAGCCTTCATCTTCCATTGGAAATAATGTGATGTGCTATTGTTCGCTTGTGATGCCGCCATGTGATGTGTCAGACGAAGGCCTTAATGTGAGAGGCTGCTTGTTGATGCTTACGGGAGTTACTTTCGGAAAAGAGCAAATGAAAGGGATGCTCTTGCGGCACACTTATACCATAGATATCATTATCCGATGAGCCATCGTTCCGACATTCTTTCGATCGTGCACACTACCTTAATGTCGCTAGACTTCATAAAAATGCTTCACGGAAAGAGTTGAGCTTTCATAGGATACTTCTTAGGACGTTAACTGGATGTAGGGTATATGTGACGCCCGAGTTGCATATCTACATTAAAACATGCAAGCAAAAAAATAGGCATAACTTCACCGTAATAGGTTCGTCCTAAACAGCATACATTAATTGCGAAACGATATCATACCTTAACAACTGACATCTACCATTATGTTATCATTATTGAGGTTTAAAGGAATTAAGCTATTTGTTTTGTGTTATCGGGTACAAGTAAATGTAAGGTATCTTGTTTAAAGATCTGAAACAATCACAATGTCTACGCTAAAGCTCAAAGCTCTTTACAAGTCATCATGAAGATAATTCGCGGGACTATGATTTGTCATACTGATGGACTTGTTGTGTAAAACATGTTACGAATATACGAACAAACGGGTGTTTGTGAGAATCTCTCCTGATTGGAAATCAATTTTGACAGCAATTTTGTCGCAGGACCCGAACGTTAGGTTCAGCCGCAGCGGTACATGAAGAAGCCTCTTGAAATCGTTTACTTTCTCGGAAAGCGTATAATTTGGTATCTGCCAACATCTAAAGTATGTACAACAAATTCTTAGTAATCGATTATTTTCGGAGATTAACTTTTCAGTTCAGGATACACACACCTATCCATTAAAGCACTTTGTCACACCGTAAATTCTCCTCTGGACATAAATCGATTAGATATTGACGGCCACCTAAAACTACCACTTACCCTACACTGCTTTTCAAGCTGTAATGGGCTTCGATATATAGCCTCTCAAATGCGTCAGAACTGAACCCAAAGGGGCCGGATTACGACTGCATGTTTTTGATATCTGTGTCGGATAGTCGATTCAGCATTTGGCATGGGGCAACCTGTCAGGAAGAACCAATAGTCAAAGATAGCAATTATCTAATAACTATCGTGGACGATTCTTTCCTGAGTTTTAGTTTAGCGACTTTATCCTATTATACATTTGTGGAGGAACCAGTAAGTCATTTCATCGCATTCTCTTCGTTCGCTGAATCAACTGAAGTATGGTAACTACATACGAATGCTAATCCAATAAGGCATCTGGCGATGTCTCATTTACTTTCAGTTCATAACACTCAACCGTTCTTATTTCTCTTTCGTTCTTAGTTTCATAAGATGAAAATCCGACAGGCATCGTAGCTAATCCCTGGCGTGCGGCAGTAGTTTTCTTTGTGTTGAAGAAAAGGTTCCAGTGGCTCCTGAATGACTAATTCAACAAGCAGACAAATAGATAGCGAAAGGAAACTATAATATTCTGCTTCATAGACTTCGTGGGTCATCTGGGGTTGATGTAGTTGCCCCATATCATTTCAGTATACGAAACAACTAGAACTGAGTAAGCTGAGGCATATGTTGGTCATCGCACTATGTCTCTATCAAACGTTTATGGAACTCCGATAATTACTTAGTATGGCTTCGTTACTTAAGCCGTTAAAGGTTAATTCTGACGGCTGGCCCCCAGCACGAAATAGTGTTCTTACATCCCAATTCGAATCTACACTACTACGTATCCCTATATTTGGCACGCAAACATGTTATCCACTGCGTTAGCATGAAAAATGGCCGCAATGGTAAGGAGAAGGTTGAACACAAAAGGTTTTGTAATGGGGAGTGAGTCTGTGAATTTTGCATTCCCTGTTCGCTGTGACGATAAAATTAATAAAAAGCTAAATAAGTGTGATTACAAGCTTTAGCCCAAGATATTCTCATCG